TATGGGATAGAAGGCAAACATCCAAATGTGTGTGTCCTGCCCTCTTCCTCCCCAAGCAGTGATCAGTTTGTTGACTCCGACAGTCTTCACGTCTCCGACTGTTGGCATTGTCGGGAGATTGAGGGCTGTTAGGGTTAGGTACTACTGGGGGCACGGTGCTAGGAATCAATCTTTCAGACTCCCATGACTGCTTACCTCTGATATCTTTCCAAGTCTCAGCTGCCTTGGACGAGGAGTGGCCAGTCTTCTTAGTGGGTGAGGACAACACAGGGCTTAAGGGTGGGGAGGCTGGTCGGGGTGGGGGTTGTTGTTCCTCTGTTGATTTGTATGATTGAAAAGACATAAACTCTCGATGATGCAGCCGCCAAACAACCCATATTCACCAACATCATCAGTAAAGAGGAGACAGTAAGAAGCAATTACAGTTATAGAGGTGGGAGGAAAACCCAAGAGGAATGTTCTAGGTAAAACCCACGGAGTCAGTAGGGACTGAAAACCCAATCCACATTTAAACAGAATATAGTAAATACACAATAATTATAAATATTTCTGTACTGCTCATTTTTCAGAATTTGATGTTTTCATCATTTTCATCAATCTTTTGAAGCCACATTATCTAAGTTAAAAGCAGTGCCTTCTGAACTTTCATTCAATGATTTGGACTAGGTATCATAAACCAAAAGATAATAGACTACTGACTTGGAATTAGCCTTTGATCAAGGCGCCCGCAGAGAAATGGATAGTCGCTCAACCTCAGCAAGGAGCTGGAGGAGACTAGTTTAAGCAGCAAACCAACACACGCAGAAAGACTACACGACGAACCACACTCACGCCCGCACGCCTTTGGATTTCTGCTCCACGTAGCTTATGTTTTTCTTTACATTTGCTACCGTTTCAGTAGAAGACACGATATATGCATATGCATAAGTTTCCATCAATCAAAACGATCACCTCTGTCGTGCATGTAATAAATTATTCATCATTACAATGGCGCGCGTATTCAACACAGCATCCTTTTTGGCAGTGGTGTAAGCTCCAGACTGTCTCTTCCAGAATTACCTAAAATATTCAGCACAGAAGCTTGGAATTCCAATTGACAAACTGAAACCACAGCAAATGTTGGCCGTGAAGGCTGCTTGTTCTGGAGGGTCAAGACACACACGTATTTGTCAATCTTCTAACTTGATATGGCAGACGTTTCAAATACCAGGCCGCACTATTGTGCAGGGACTTCATAAACATAAGCAGCTTAGACATGCTCGGACTGCTTAGCCCCCAAAACACGATTGGTCCAGAGAAATGTGAATAATACATAAGATATTAGCATTATTGAATAATTCAGATAACCACTGGAAACAAAGCTCCAAAGGTGCTTGCGGCGGAGCGCACAGTCCACGACACCTACAGCTAGGCTACTGCATGTGCATGCATGGTTAATTCCAGGCTTGCATGCAGTTTGTCATGTGGTCTTGACTATCCATTTCCCAGCAGGCACCTAGATCAAAGGCTAACTTGGAGTGACTTCAACTAAAACACNAAGGCAAACATCCAAATGTGTGTGTCCTGCCTTCTTCCTCCCTATGCAGTGATCAGTTTGTTGACTCCGACAGTCTTCGCGTCTCCGACTGTTGGCATGGTCGGGAGACTGAGGGCTGTTAGGGTTAGGTACTGCTGGGGGCACGGTGCTAGGAATCAATCTTTCAGACTCCCGTGACTGCTTACCTCTGATATCTTTCCAAGTCTCAGCTGCCTTGGACGAGGAGTGGCCGGTCTTCTTAGTGGGTGAGGACAACACAGGGCTTAGGGGTGGGGAGGCTGGTCGGGGTGGGGGTTGTTGTTCCTCTGTTGATTTGTATGATTGAAAAGACATAAACTCTTGATGAGGAAAATTAACGTGGAGAAAAAACCCGACATGGCCGCTGCAGCCAATTTTTGCTTCAGGAAATCAAGCCAAAGTTTAAAAAATTGCTGATTCAAACTTTCAAACAAGTTTTTAAACAGAATATGGTGTATACACAATGATTATTAATATTTCTGTACTGCTCGTTTTTCAGAATTTGACTTTTTCATCCTTTTCAACAATCTCTTGAAGCCACATAATCTCAGTTGAAAGCAGTGCCTTCTGAAGTTTCATTCAATGAGTTGGACTAGGTATCATAAACCAAAAGATAATAGACTACTGACTTGGAATTAGCCTTTGATCAAGGTGCCCGCGGAGAAATGGATAGTTGCTCAAGAGCGAGGAGCTGGAGGAGACTAGTTTAAGCACCAAACCAACACACGAAGAAAGACTACACGAGGAACCACACGCACGCCCACACACCTTTGGAGTTCTGCTCCACGTAGCTTATGTTTTTCTTTACATTTGCTACCGTTTCGATAGTAGACACGATATATGCATATGCATAGGTTTCCACCAATCAAAACGATCACCTCTGTCGTGAATGTAATAAATTATTCATCATTACAATGGCGCGCGTATTCAACACGGCATCCTTTCCGGCAGTGGTGTAAGCTCCAGACTGTCTCTTCCAGAATTGCCTCAAATATGCAGCACCGAATGTGAATAATACATAAGATATTAGCATATTGAATAATTCAGATAACCACTGGAAACAAAGCTTCAAAGGTGCTTGCGGCAGCACGCACAGTCCACGACACCAACAGCTAGGCTACTGCATGTGCATGCATGGTTAATTCCAGGCTTGCATGCAATTCATCCTGTGGTCTTGACTATCCATTTCGCCCCTGGTGCCTTGATCAAAGGCTAACTTGGAGTGACTTCAACTAAAACATATTTTGAAACACATTTTTCCAAACAGGAGAATGTCAAAATTTCTGGCATTCTGTTTCCAACAACTTGAACCAAATGCAGTGAAAAAACTGCTACCACCATTGGATGGCCATGGTGCATTCAACAGGTGAATCTTTCAAGGAGAAAGCACTGTTCAGCGACATTAAAATGCAATCTCATCTGCAGACTGGACACACATTACACACATATCATATAAAGAGTTTCCAAAAAATTGTGCATTTTCACAGCTCGGTTAAATTCAACCACAGACACCAAAGGCAGAAAGTGACCAACCTACCTTCGCTTGGCATGATGGCATCCTGGCCACCTGGCTCAAATCCTTCCTTTGCCCATCCAATCATGTCTGTGCACAGCTCGTAGAATTTCTGCCAGGCTGGGTTTGAGTGCCGGCTGTGCTTGGGTACCTCGGTCCTGTATTGGGCCGGATCATTGGAGTAGGTCTTGCCTGCACGTGTGGATGCCAACTTTATTTGGAAAGACGGCAATTGACATTGGCCATAAAATCAATTTGTCAAATGAGAATATATTAAACAAAACACATACTGACAGTTGGTTGGTAAATTGTTTTCAAGTCTCAGAAAACCAAGCAAAAGTTAAGAAATATTGACAAGGATCGCTGAACGAGTAGGATGCTTTTATGGTCCTATGGTAATCTCCAACTCTTTTATCATCACACAATTCAAATCTCCAGATATCAAAGGCGAGGTCTACAGTAATGAAAGAAGTTTAAACTTTTCCATATTTACGCATGCTCAGCCTTGAAGCAACACAAGCTGCATGCTCCACCATATCAAACTCAACAAACTCACTTACCTGCAGGGCTTGAAAGACGGCTCGCCTGTAAAGCGCAGTGTGCAAGAAAGTGGACTGCGAGAAGTGAGCAGAGAACTGGACAAAGGGAATCACTTGGTTGAGGTTCACCTGAGGGGAAAGAAACAGCCAAACAAAGCTTCTGTGAACATGAAAATCGTGTATAAATGGCTAATTACAGTTAACACCAGCCGCATGTACATGTACCCTTTCTGAAGAAACCATCAGACTTGTTTGGTAACAAATGCGTCAGAAGGCCAAAGTGAACTATTAGATGGATTGCTGGTTTGAAACGAACACAAAGTACGTTATAAATTGATACACCTTAGAACTCTGCGGGCTATTCTATTTGTGGAATGTGGATTTCTGAAATCCTTCTTCACGGGCCGAGTTCAAAACGCGTTTGATGGAAAACAAACAGTGTTCAAGTGTTTTGACTCGGTACATTACACAATCAGCAAAAAACTACACCTGGGCAAAGTTTTACGGCCAAACAGTTTGCATTTACCTTGGAGAATTTGTTATCTCCAAACCATTTGATCCAGCATGCATCGCTGGCTGCTGCATCCCTGCCACAGGTGTGGTGGTGGACCACCGTGCCAGGCCACCAGTTGAAGCCTTTCATCTTACCCCAGACCAGCTGGCCATATCGGTACTTGTCTTGAAGAGGACGACTCGGGCAAGGGCTGGAAATCTGTAGGATTGGTGGGGGGAACAATATCTGGTTCGTATAAGTGTGATGTCACTTCAATTTAAACAGTGCCCACTGCACATAGAGTTACACGGAACCATGGAACCGGAAGTTAACACACAACTTATAGGCCTAGTGTTCCTCCAATGGGAGCCTGAAATCAGTGGTGTGTCCACGTGTTTGACAAAGTCACTTACAATCCAGATAAAAATGTAAGAAACACCAAGTTGATACTTTCTGAAGACAAAAACATTACCCAAGCACCGTCACTTACTGTTAAAAATATTTCTCACAACAGTGTTTTTCTCTGAATTTTCTCTAAGAAACTTTTAAAATTCGACATTGATGCAACCCATCAATTTTGGCACACTCTTAGATTAGTTCAAAAGCATTGTTTTCGTTTTGTGTATCAATCTTACTTGGGCAGCCGTTGGCTTGCTCGATTCGTCTTCTTCACTTGACTTTGGGGCAGGATCAGGGCCCTCATCAATCAACTTCATCTTCTTGGACGGAGGAGGCTAACAAAGGAAGGTGACAGAATTAACTTGATAAAGGTCTGAAGTACCAGATACTTAATAAAATATGATCAATGAGTGATTGATTTGTCGGCTCTCTATAAACGTGCATAATAGGTTTTAGAATCAAACAAAGACATTACTTACAAGCTATCAAGCCACGGCATACAGTGTTAGAAAACAATTGTTATCGTGTATGCTCGTGGACTGGAGCTCTTTCGGCCAGTGTTGTATTCGAGTCCATCACAAGTCCCTGCAATTCCCTACCATCAGTCCATCACAAGTCCATCACAAGTCATTCAGTCTTAAGCCAATTCACAAGCTACTTAAATGAACCGCAACAAAAGTATTCTTTTGTCACTGTTCACCCTGTTTCTTATGACTAGCCTTGTGAAGGGCCTTTTGACTGGACTTGTCAGTGATGGACTCGAATACAACACTGCTCTGAGCAAATAACTTGTGAAGAAACACACCTTGTTCTGGAGGATTTTGTTCAGTATTTTATCACAAGCTCACCTTCAATACATCCCTAAATGGCATTTTCTGCTGCAAGAGGTGAGACTTCTCCTTGCTGGCTTTACTGGGACTCTGAAATGGCTCACTGTTCTTTTTAGGAGACTAAAGACAAAACAAAAAATTTTGAAATTCTACAAGACGGTACAAACTTAATCCTTTGCACAATACTGTCATCTTGTGCCCAGACAGGGCTGTAATCTAAACTTCTGTATATTGTTAAAAATATACATCCAGCAGACACAGAATTTGAGAATGAACTTTAGAAAGGCAGTTTCCAGAGTTCTGCAGGTGTATTATTGCAAGTCTAGGGCTATTATGTCTTGTTTTGGCAATCAAGGCAGTAAGTACAAATCATCCTAACTAAGTACCTGCACAACACCACTAATAAGGAGGACCACTTTATATGTTGTGACTTGTGAAAAAAAACAACATCTCTAATAATATCGTCGATTCACAATAGTGCCCCTTCAAGAGTCTGCAACGCAATGACCAATCACAGTGCGCAAAATCTGTTGACCCTTTCCAAACCCGCATTAGGTCAACAGATTCTGCGCATTGTGATTGGTCAACGCATTGCAAACTCTTGGAGTAGCTCTATTGTGAATTGCTCGTATTATGTGAAAATTACAAAGTTTGAGAGTAGGTCAAGAAACATTCATATTGGAAAGGTTCTTAGACAATGTAAGTAAGTCTCTCATCCATTAGCTACTGCAAACCTGTTTCTTCTTCTCAGTCTCTGGTTTCTTCAAGGACTTTGGAGTTTCTCCTGCCTGAAACTTGGTGACCACAGCCGGTTTCTGTCTCAGGCTTTCTTCCCAACCACTTTGACCTCTCACTCGACCCTGAGTGGAAAAAAACAAAGTTTTACTTAAGCCTACATGTTCATAATTTTTGTTTTGTCAAATCCACAGTGCTGGGGCAGAGTGGGGCAGAACAGAGAGGAATGTTTCAAACAAAACTCTAACAAGATTCTTCATACCTGATGCAAATCAATGGTCAAAGAAACACGAAAACACTCCAAGTCTTTAAGAATAACCTTTTCCCTTTCTTTTCAAACTTCCATTCTGCAAATGCGTAACAAAAACCCTGTAGACTGAGCATAAAAACAATTTGGCCAGCTTCCAAATCTGCACTGCTTACCTCCTGTGAGTCAGTTCGCTTTCTTTTTCTGGTAATCAAGCCCTTTTCTCCACTCACCAGATCCCTTTCTTCTTGAGCTGAGGGGTGGGGACATTAATTCAAATGACTGCATTGTTTTGAATCGAAAGCTGAGTTGTTTGGGAAAATTAAAGGCCAGACACTGGAGTAATGACATTATGTTCTTATACAGCCAAAAGGAACAAAGGAATTACAGAAAGCTTAAGGTATTAACAAAAGATTACTGTTCTCTACAATTTGTTATTCAGCACACACAAATAAAAATCCAAAGTTTAATCAGAATCAGCACTAGCTTACTCATTTGAGAGAGGAGCTGTTGGCCCTCCTGGTTAAGCCTGCCTTCTTTTGCTTGAGGTTCACCTGGAGCTTTGATCAGACTCTGTTGACTTAACCATCGTTGTTTCTTTTCTGCAGGAGTTTTTATCTTCCTGGGTGCTGCTTCTGGTTCCTTCAGCTCTGGAGTGCACTGTGTCTCATCGTTAACAAGTGTTTCCACGGAAACACTGCTGTCTGTCTTCTTTGTATCGTCCTTGGAGCTGTCCTCTGTCTTGACTTCTGCCATTGGTGATGATCGTCTCTCTGGGACTGCTGCTGCCAGCTCAGTGCTCGCCTCTTCTTCGGTGTCTGAAGGAATCTGTATGCTGCTCCTTGCATCTGCAGATTGGTACTTGCTTGTTACCTTGGCAACATTCCCATCACTGTGTCTCTGGCTAAGGGTGGAACTGGCATTCTCTGTTGACTCTTCCGGGTCCTGTGAGGTCATCTGGGAGCTTAGCCAAGATTTTCCCACTTGGAAATAGGATGATGGCATACACATGTTTTCCTGATTGTTTCTAGATCTGCCTCTTGTGCTTGAGGGTGTTTGGTTCATCGTCTGAGCCTGGCTCTCCCTGCTGCTGTGTGGGTGGACTGAGGCGAGGACAGGAATAATGGGGGAGTCTACTTGAGGTGAATTATTCTCTGTGGGCCCTTCATGAAGGTGGGAGAGCCCTGGAAGGCAATTCCCCGAAATTAAGATGCCGTCCCCATCTTCCACAGACTCATCCACGGTAGATGTATTGACGTCATTCTCAGGTTTACGATCCACATCTTCACCTTGACGCAGAGAGGTGATTCCCTTAGGCATAAAGTCTGGATTATTGACAGCCACATTATGCCGAACTTGTAGTGACTGTTGACAGTCCTTATCCTCTGAGATGACTTCATCCAGTTCATTTGGTGATGACTTCCTTCTTTCGTCGTCATCTTCGAGGAGAGGGATGTCCTCTATGGCAGCCACCACTGACAAATTCCAAAGATTCTCATCAAGAGTTTCCTGTGTTTTCTTGGTCACTGGATTGATGGTATTCTTGCTTGCATAACGGGTATTTTCAATCCTTGGAGAAGCGCCGTCATTGTCACTGCCTCGATAACAGAGGGCCGTATAAGAGAGAGCCGACACACGGTCTTGTTCACTGGAGTCGTTGGCACGACTGACTGAAACTACTTTGGGGGCTTTTGACCCAACAATGACAGGGGCCTCCCTGTTGCCTTCATGTTGCTCTTCATCTTGACGTCTGACTTCGGGCATGATGTTCTTGGCTGGACTTCTATTCCCAAGCTTCCTGATGAAGCCCACAGGCTGTGATACTTGATTATGTGGACTGAGAGACACAGGTTCTTTCATTCTGTGAACCTCAACCGAAATCCGACGACTGAAAGGACCAAAACCTTTGATCTTATCCACTGGGGTCGAGGTGAATGGGTGAATACCAACCAAACTCAGCTGCTCTCCATGGTCATTGTTTGTACCTCTGAGGGGCTGAGGACAACACTTTCTCGCAGTCTGTCGTAATTTTATCCCCCGCTGGGTGGTAATGACTCTTCCTAAACTCCTAGAAAGACCCCCTTGCATTAATGCAGTTGTGCTGCTCTCTGCACTTTCAGTCAGGGCTTCTCTCACCTCTAATTCTGAAGTGCTGCTCGGTTGATGCATTGAGGTCTCATTTGTTACAAAATTCTTCCTGCTGTCCTCGTAATTTCCAGGTGTATGTCTTGAGGACCGAGACCTCTGTCGTGTCCTCCTTTGGTGGGAAGGGGAGACCCTTTTCTTTCTAAGTACATGGCCCCTCTGCTCAGGAGTTGGTTGTCCTGTCATTTTTGGCTTTGCTGGTGGGAGGATGTCTTCCATCTCGCAGTGAGACCCACTAGGCAGCACTGGTGAGGACTCCCCATCAGCATTCAGAGGTTGAATTTTCTGAAGCTCAAAGCCTGTCTCACTGGCCAGAAGATCAAGTTCTATTCTTTCACCTTTCAGAGAGCTGTCATCCTCTGTCCTGGGTGACATAGTTGCTGGTTCCACGGATGTTTTGTCTTGACAAAAACTTGGAGACTTGGGGTTATCTACGGTAGTCGTTTCTCCCTTGACTCCTGAGAGAACATCTTCAGATCTCTGCGCCAGAGCAGCTTCATGGTGACAGTCTTGTGTGGTGTTACCTTCTTTGCCATTTCTACGAATGCTCCTGGCAAGTCTCGTCCTGGATGAGATAAAAGCACCATCATCTTGGACCATTACGGAGCTTCTGTCTCGAGTTGTAGGACTTTGCATCCTCCCAGCACCAGCCTGAGGACCCCCTGCCTCTTTGATCTTCTTGGAAGCATCTCCTGTCAGCTCCGTCGCGGAAAATATGCCCTTACTGGCTCTCCTTCTGGTTTGACGTCTTCTCATTGACGCACTCTCAGAGCCCTGATCTTGGCTCTCCCTTCTGTGTGCCTGGGGCACATCATGCTTGCTTCTTGGCTTTTCCTTGAGAGTCGTTGCTTTTTCCTCATCGGTGGTTGTCTCAGTGTTGGAGGACTTTCCCTGTTTTGAGGGAAAATGGCCTTCTTTCTTTGGCTGCTGTGATCTTACTTGTCTCACAGTTGACTGTTTGTATTGCCCCGTCTTGCTGAGATTTTTCTGATGTCAAAATTTTTTTTAAATCCGCATAGACAGACATGAATAGTTTACAGACATTCATATTCTTGAATAGTCATTTTGGGGATGAGTAAAATAAAAAAAAATCACCAGAAACAGACAAAAAGCTCACAATCTTATGAGTACATAAAGTGTCATGTGTACAAGACTAAATTTAATTCTTGTACTGTTAACAAGGGCAGACTGATCAACTTACAAAAAAAACTGACTGGCCAACAGATCGTGTTGGACCCTATGTCTATTCAGTCCATAATCACACTTGTGAAATGCAAGCACAAATGCACGAAGATTACTGTTGCTTTTCTCTGACCAGATATTTGCAATGAATACAGCAACTGTTTTTTTTTTTATTAAAAATGCCTCATTTACAGAATACAAATGAGAATAAAGCATTTCTCTCACAAACATGGATGAAGAATGACGTTTATTTATCCTCGATAGGAAACACTTCAGCACTAACACATTTAGGGTCATATAGTGACTACTTAATTTTTTGGAGGCTTGCAGTTTGTTCCTTGTTTTCAGAGTTGAAAAACAGTATTCTGATTTATTAAACAAGCTTATTTCTTTCTCTCCTCCTGGAAAGAGAACGGATGGAAGCAAGTTGGGGTGCCTAAAAGTAATTATCTTGGGAACTTGCTCTGAAGGATGCTGTATTTCAAATCAGGTTTTTTTTATTATTTACAAGATAGGAGATACCTTTAATTCATTGAGGAAAGCCTTCCCGTGAACAACCTCAATGTACCGATCTAAGTTCTTCCGCTTAAACACGTTCCATTTGTGGTACACCCTCAGGAGGCTCTGTTAACAAAAACACAAATAACTTTTGAATTATCCAAAAAGCATCTGACAAAATTACTGTTAAAAAGCATACTTGCATGGTTTAAAGGTGGTTGCTGGACTGAAATCCCTGTGAAAATGTTCTTTCTGGCAAGCTGTCCTGTTGAAGAAAACAATAGAAGACCATTTCCAACGTGTCTAAAAATGCATTTTTGAAAAATAGCCACTAAAAGTGAGCGCAAGTGTTGACACGACACAAATGTGCATACGGTTACTACAAAGCACTGGTTTAGCGCATGATATCACATAGCTGCATGCAACTGAACATGAGAACATATCCCAGGCGCTGAATTCAGGCACAATTCAAAACATGACTCGGCAACTTTTGTTCTGAAATCCTTGAATATTGTTTTGATCAGAATAGACCGTGTTGACAGATCTGAAACTTCACAAGGTTTGTTCTTGGGTACCCTTCTTTAAATTTGGAGTAAGTTTGTTGGCTCAAACGAAAACGTGCACGATGCACAAATGACATATGGTATGATGGAGTGTGTTTTTAAATTAAATCAAGTTACAAATGCAAATTAAGAACGTCCTTGTGTATTTAAAATCAAGAACTAATTTTGCTTGGGGGGGAGGGTAAGCCAATTTTGTTCAGAGGGCCAAAAATTGAATATTTTCTCATGCAACTTTTTATGGCCTTTTTCTCAAGAGTTGGGATACATTTTAGGTTTTTTTACATGCTTTTTACAAAAGGGAAACAATACACCTTTCTCTCCAAAGTAACACTGCTTCTTAGGGGGAGGGGGTGGTCCCAGTTGCCCCCCCCTCCCATAGACCCGCCCTTTTTAGGACATCTATCATATTGCAACTACCACTGTTCATCAGGCAGAAATAGCCAATAATTCTTAGACCCATCTCATCTCACTGGGAAAAACCAACTCAATTCTGCCAGGTGGTCACATGGCCTCATACTTTTTTCAAACCATTTACAGCACGCTTGTGTGCAAAGGAGAAAAGAACAACTTCGGTGTCATGAAATTAAGTCGAAAATGGTGGCGTCCACAATTTGGGCACAAATTCAACAGCATGTTCCCTTTTAAATCTGGAGTACTTAAATATCTCACATGATCACACACAATTCCAAACGAACACGCAAGAATCTCTTTAAAGTTGATAAATTCCGATATATATCATAAGTACTTCCCATTTACCAACTACACATTTGTAAGAACAAACAATTTTTTGTGCAATGTAAAAGAACTAATTGTGCACTTCAAAGAAAGTGGAAAATTAGATCAAAATAGAACTTCATTGGAACATTGTAGTGGGTACATATTCTACAGAGCTATGAACAGGGATGATAAAGAGCTTTATGACATTTCAGTTTATACTGTGACAACTGAGGCAAAAATATTGAATTAGAAAGGCACTGAAGGGGAAAAATCAAAGTGCAACACAATTAAGGGCCGTGCCGTGTACTGTAAGAGTACACAAACAATAAATCAAAGACTTTACCTTTGCTTCTTGCATTTTTTTCAGAGCCAGAAAAAAGATTGTAGACAATGATTCTGCTTAAAAATTTTGCTTCAATAAAAGAGAAAAGATTGTATGATTTTGGTTAAAACTCTAAAATACTTCAAAATGTTCCAAAACACAGGTGACACCCTTTCATGTCGATTTGTTGTGTTAACTTAGTGATCCGCAGACTGGAACGCTGGAAAATGTTTCTTCAAGGTGAAAATTGGGCCTTTTCTCGCCATATCTCGAGAACCATTTGATATCTCACTTAGATTCATTCGGGATGTGAACATTTAGTACCTCAGCTACAGAAACAAGTGTTTTCCGGTTCTAATAACCATGAAACAAGCCCGTCAAAATCAGTTTTAGAAGCACTGAAATCCTTTTTTTTTTGTGCGACGCCCCAATTTTTTCGCATTTTACAGATCACATTTTACAGTCTTTTCTTCACTAATTTTTGTACCAATGTTAATTTGAAGTTCTATAGATGGAAGGCATGAAGGCTTTAGTGTGTTTATTGAAGCTGAAACTATGAAAAATATGTTTTAAGTTTCATAAATCATTTGAGAACGTGTACGTGTAACAGGGAGCTGTGTGTATCGGTAGATACCATTGTTTTGATGGGGGACATGATTCGTGTATGTGTGCATGGATGGGGGCTCCAATAATGGTTGCCTTTGGAGCCTGTGTTAGTTTCAGAACAATTTGTTGTGATATAGCATGGATGATTATCAAATAATCTGTGTTTGAAGAACATGTATAAACATGAACAATACATATTGATCTTTTTTCCCTCATAATTTCAGATGCTGGTCCATTGAGACATCTTGGCTCGAGTGCTGCCTATGGCAAAGGGAGAAAACTGTCAAAAGTTGTGTGGAAGTCCTGCTCATGAGCTGACCGATACATATGCAGTGTTTGTGCTGATAATCAATTCATTCTCTGTGTCTTATCAGAATTGTTTCTTATAAATGCAAGTTACTCTGTGAAGATTTATCTCTGAAGATCATTGCATTGATTTGTAGATAGTTTTGTTGTTTTGTCTAAATAAAAATATTCACACAAATGTTGTTAACATTAAGGATTGTTTGAACTGCATTTTCTTTGCAAGCAGTTAAACTCCTATGATCCACACATATCCCCCCATCCACCCTGTGAGGCTGTGGTTGACAACAGTTTGTCCATAGAAAGCCAAATGTTTATCTCGAGACCACTAAACACACATTCTGCGGCAGTGCACTTACTTTGGCAGCATCCTTAGGTTTACAACTGACTCCCAACAAAATGATAGGCCCTATGTAAGAGCTATATAGGTTACCCAAGTTTGCTCTCACGTTAAAATGTGATTAAATAGCTTTGTGAAAGCTGTGAAGGCCTAGCATTCGCCAATCAATTTTGACTAAAAAACCCATAGCATTACGACTCCATGTAAACTGTCATGACTGCATTGGCTCGAAGCCACATCGAGTACTTAGTTTGAGTTCTTGAAGTAACAAGTTCCCATTTTTAGATTCTCCAAATTTCACTCAAGTTAAATAAAGTTACAATGGCTACATTAACAACATGATTAATATCCATAGCAATGAATTTTATTAACTACATGTAGCCCCTACCTGCTTTCCATAGAATGGCATGTTCAAACATGGAGGTAGGAAAACAAAGGACTGAACTTGAAGTCTTCTCACTGTTTACATAAAAATCTGTAGCAGTGTAGGCCTATGAACAAGGGAAAACAAAATGGTCCAATCAGATATAATTCCAAGAAAATCATTCGAATCGGCATGATCAGCAGTGATCGGTCTGGCCGCAGCTCAGGACTAAAAGCAGCAGCAAAAAACCGCTAATGCCAACTTAACACAAAGGAAGATTACCTACAATTAAGTCCGTTGGTCTCTCACAACTTTGGAAAGTTCAGGGCAATTCATAATCAGATAACAGTACTTCAAATTTTGCAAGAAACCAACCGATTCCATACATATCAAACTTGGTAACCAATTTGAAATTTTGCGAAAACATGTAGTTACACACTACCAAATAGTCTGGGTACCAATCACATCAAGTTCTGTTCAGATCACGTGCGGCGTTCGCTTGATAGCCTTGCGCGCTTGCTTGCAAAGGTAGCAACAAGGACCACGTGCTCTTTCGGTATAAACTTTACTCAAGTCTGATTTCGGGTTTAACACCTAGCCATTGAAGCAGCTCATTGAATTTAAGTTTTAAAAAAATAAAATGAAATGATCACTAATAATAACTAATTAAGAAAAGGAAGACACAAGAAAAACAGAAAATATGATATATTGTGAAAGGACTTTAAGGAGGCGTGTGCATGATAGACTCGACTACAATGCTGCAACCAATGATTAGACAGAAATGAGCTCTGCAAATGGCAAACAATACTCAACAGTGGGTATGAACGAAATGTGAATTGGAGTCCCGTTTTATAAAGCATTTGGTTTTCCCTTCCCTCCCTCCCTCCTGCCTTGAAAAAGCAGCCTCGTTCCGTGGTTTGAAGAAAAGGGACTGGGTGGCTCTAATGTAAACAACACCACCACATGTGGACCGCCGGGCCAAGGTGATCGCATAATTCCTACGGGCAGCTTCGACCACGTACAAGCGCACGTGCGAACGCTGCGCATATGCTTGACCAGTTTATCTTGAAAAAGTAGATTACCATCACAACATGAGAGGCCATTTCACACTGCAGAGCCAATCCCCGGGAAATAAATCCCAGGGATTTTTACCCCACCCAACCCCAGCAACCGTTCACAATAGACCCACTAGGTAACTCCCAGGGACACTATTTCAGGGGAACACCAGTTGCTTTTCCCAGGAAAAATGTTAAACCCTAGGCTTTTCTCCTTTAACCCTACTCCTGAGCAGGGGTAAATATTTCTCGGGGAGAGCTATCTTTGGTAGTGTGAAAGCGGGGAGGTCCAGCTCGATTGTGACACAGCAGGACTATATGGTAGCTCAGTGGTTTGTCATAGCGCCCTCTTGAATGTGTCGGCTGAACTCAACAGTAGCGTCTGGAAATAAGACTACAAGAACCGCATGCAAATTCCCCGGAAAAACAGCGCTAGCTAGCTTTGAGCAGTATCAGAAACAGTCTGGTAACACTACGGTGACAGTGCGTGGTGTGATGGAGACATCTGGGATACCTGACCAGTTTCTAAAATGTCTACAAAACAATACTCGGGCTTTTCCCATTCGTACGCATGCATGCATGCTGCGGCCATATGTTATAATCAGTGCCGATAGTGAAGTGTACGTGAACCATCCAGCGCTCCAGTCTCAAGCGGAAACCGCTACTTTAATTTTATTTTGCTTTTTGATTTTGAGTAGCAATGTCAAGAAGATGTTCGAGATAAGTACAGGAAGGCTTATGGCCGTTTTCCTGGTGCTGCTTTTGGCATGGCATAGTCACTCCGGTGATTTGGATCCCGAAGACGAAAGCAACCCGCATCGCGACCCATCAAAATGCGAAGGTAGGCAGTAGGCCATGCTAAACCGTACCGGTGCGTAGAACTGCAACTGTGAGGTCCGCTGACGACGAACCCGGAACTTCCACAGTTTAAGTTGGGGTAGGCTACGACATGTATGCCTGAAATCGCTCGCGCAGAGCGTTCTAGTTCCCCAAAAAGTGACTGGGGAAGAGTTTTACGGACGCCAGTAATTATTCCCTACAGTGAACTATATATTATTATTAGCCGTCAGAAAGCCCTAAAAAATGTCCAGAAAAGTTCAATTTAGGAGGGAATAAACCACATCATTTTCTTAGAAAACACTGATTTGGAATTTTTCAGAACTGTCCCTGTGGCGTCCATATGTGGAACTTTTTCCAGTGATTGTAGAACTCCATGCAATTAGTATACATGTATACAGTAATGAGCATTTGCCAATGTTCATAGATACTGGATAGTGAAAACATAGTAAATGTGGGAGAAGTTTGCAGTAGTTTAATAAGGCATATTTTAAACTGTCTTAATTTTTGACAAATGTTTTATGTTCAGCATTATCAAGATATTTATTTAGAAGTGGACACTAAGAAGCATTTTTCTAGTTCAGACCAGTTAAAATTAATTTATTTGGGTTATATTTCCGTTTTATTTCCACAGGGTAGCCTTGTCGGTCGAAAACTGCTTTTATTTATGGGCCCTGGTAAAACTTAGAAAAATCAATACGAATGAATTTAAAACAGATTAAGTTAATTGAAGAGAAAGATAAAACAGAAACTTTATAGCAGTCGAACAAAACAGGATTTCTATGTAAATTTAGATAAAATAGCAAAGATTATAGAATTAACAGGTATATGTAGTACTAAGATTAATAAGAACGCATATTCCCCTTTCTGGAAGAGTCCCATCCATGCATACGTGGACATCACTCATTTTTAGGTGCAGTGGTACATGTACATGAATATCAGTCATCAGAAAGTGATGACATGTCCCAAAGAGTCAGTTTATTTTAGTAGGGAAAAAGTCAAAGCTTTGGAAAGAGTTTCTATGCAGACAACACTGATGTCCCTGTGCACAAACCTATGAAAATTGTCTGAAGCGTTTTCTCAGTAGGACCTAAAACTTTGGAATTTTCTTAGCTGAATATCACTTTTAAGGACATGTTACCACTTTCTGACAGTTGTTATAACATTTTAAGGAAAAATTAGTGTTGTCTGTGATTGGAACTCTTGCCAAAACGTTTACTTGAGAAAACATTTGAATTTTTCAGAGCAGTCTCATGAAATCTGTACTCAGGGTGTCGAGTGGTGTCGGTGGATGGAATTCTTTCCCTTTTTTTCCGATGGCAATTTTTTTCCTTCGGCAGTTTTTTTTTTAATTTTGTAATAAATGCAGAATACCCCGCCACACAAAAATACACCCCTAAAATCACTGGCTACGAGGTGGAATTGAGTTTGTTGAATTGAAAACTAAATTACTGACTCCCCAGTTGGCAGTTAAGTGGCTTCAAAGTTTGGCTCGCCTTTTGAGAACGAAGCAACAAAAAATGAATGGGGATCATTGAAAAAAGTCGAAGTCCAAATCAATTCCTGGGTTGGCGGCTGCATGGATAAGATGTGAGAACTCAGGAGAAAAAGGGTGGGGAGAGCAGAAAGTCAGTGGGAAAGGGCGAAAAAGGAAAAGTCCAGAGAAGGTCTAGGGTTGGTGGCTACGTGGATACGATGTCAGAATTAAGGAGAAAAAGGTTGCAAGAGGGTGTTGACTGACATGAATGAGGAGTGCACAGATTCAATGGGGATTGGCGGCTACGCAGATATGATGTCAGAATTGGAGCGCCCTCTTGTGGTCGTCGTAACACACTATGTACTGCATGCGTGACCTTTGATCTCATAGCAAGGTGTTCTGCAATTATGCCTTTATTGTTTACCAAATCCACAATTCTGTGTATTGCACACAAACAATGAAATTTCTTGAGGTTTGGTTGTGTGCATGTACTTACATTGCTGTTGTGATTTCACACTCGGATGGGAATCAGGCACAGTGAAATTTGTACTTTATTTGAAATGTCCTTAGTACATGTACAATGTGGCCTTGTGGTCAGCTTTTTAGCAAAATATACAGGGCCAGTTCCCCTGCAATGAAAGGCCAAGAACGGAAAACTCTTTGAAAACAGTTAGCAATATGTAATATAAGCACATGGCGCAGTCCATATTCAACAATTGTCTCATGATGTCTCATGTAAAATAGGCAAAAAAGTATGCAGTATTTCCATAAAGCAAAGGAACGGTCCTCAGTATTACACATAAATACTAGAAGTCCACCTGTATTGGATTCATCCCTTCTATATTTGGACCAAGTGCATGTAATTTCAGTTCAAGGCCTAGAGCTGAACTCACTTTATGCCAAATGTCAGGATGCATAAACAGATATTGGTAATTAAAATGTATCTTAAGAAAAAGTCTAAAACTTAAGAACAGATTTTGTATCTGTAGATATTTTCCAACAAGGGTGTTCTTGACCTTTGAGAAAACAATTTTCTTGACCTGAAGGTCAAAGGTTTCAAAGTCTTACAGTGTCTCAGGGCATAACATAAAGGGATGTTGTCTTCTGCAAAAATGCACTGTGTCCTGTTATGATAATCTATTAAAATCTAGCCATTAAAATCATTTTGCCATTGAGAAAGATTCTGCTAGGATTGAAACGTCAGGCCCACCTTATTTTGCCATTAAAATCAGGATCACACATTAGACATACATACATACATTTTACTGTCAATTTTTATTGCTTTTTTGGCAGTCTGCAAGTTTGTGGCACAAGAACTGCAAGAAACCATGACCGAAACAGGCAAGAAAAAAGAAGTGTTACAGATTGGACATCAGTTTGACAAGCAGAAGAAGGAGATCAAATACCATAAGTCGTAAGTTTTCCCAGTGTGTCACAAGGGACCATTACAGAATCGAACTTACACGTACCCTTGGGGAAAGATACAGGTATGTAAATCTCAAACCAACACATAAGATCTTCTGTTGATGACTAGGGGGTGTTTTGGTGACCCCTAACCAAAACCATGCTCTCGATGTCAGAGTAAGAACTAGGACCATGTGAAGATACACAAACAGTTATGTCATCCGAGAGGGACAAGGTACAAGGAAGCAGAGGAACTTGGTGATGAATCTCATTCTCTCTCAATATTTGGTCTGAAGTTGTTACCAGTGTTGTTCTCTCTCTTCTCATTTTAAGGAAAAAGTGCCTCTTTTGATTCGCAGTATGTAACAAAAAATTGTGAAATAACTCTTCTGAAAGGCAACAAAAATCGTCCGTTTATTTTCCGCCATTTAGAACTGACGCTGAACCAACTCCATCCTTTGGTTTTCCATCGGTCGGAACAATGACATCACAAAGTCAAAGTCGTGAAAATGCTGCCTGTAACCAATGACCACAGCTGTAATATGTTCACATGTCAGGTTGCCAAAGTGCACCCTGCTTCTTTTTTACAGTGCCTAGACTGACTGGTAGCCAAGTGTAGGCCCACTAACAGCCCATGTTTCTACATATGTTTTTTCCCCTCTTTTCCTTTTCGGGGGAGACACCCGGTACATGTACTGATACAGGTACATGTAGCTGCTTCGAAGGAGAAAAATCTTTGTTGAAATCTAAGAAAACATGAAGTGACTTTTTTGAGAAGAAGACTGAGATTCTTTTTTCTTGTTTCAATCAGCATGTTTCAATTACATTGTATCTCGACCTTCACTGCTGTGTTGAAACTTTGGTCCTTGTACACACGAAGCAATAGTGTGGCTAATCAAATGATATACTACGTCAGTTTTCTGCTTATTTTTTCCAAGTTTAAAAAAAGTGTATGTATACATTTTTTCCCCTACATTTGACCACAAACATGATAAGCTGAAGAATGTCTAAAATTTAATTAAAATCTCATCTTTATTAAAGTACAAATATTGTTTGTCATGTACTTCCAATATCTCACAAGAAACTGCATAAACTTTACCGTGCTGGGAACAGTGCCAAAGAAAATAGGAAAAACTGAATTTGCTCGTCGTTTAAATGTTTGTACAACAGTGCAGTCACGTCTAATGATGCAGCGCATAAAAATCTTGGCTAGGTAATAATACATGTAACTGCAGTGTTTATTGTATAAAGTTAAAAAGGCAGACACCCATCATTGAAAAGTGTAATTTATAAATCAAATCTTCCAAGACGTGATCAAGTGCCAAGGTGCCGCATGTGTTTGAAAATTGTGAAGTATATATGTACAGGAGAGCAATTCGACACAAAAGTGGGCATTGGTTGTACTGTAACTGAATGTCCTTTGTGTTTCATTTTGTACATAGATATTCATAAAGAATAAAAGTGTAGTTAATGGTTGGTAACATGAACTTCGATTTCTGATTTTCATTTCTTTCATTTTCTTTACCGGTATGAATTATAAATGATTATGAGGTTGGTAACACTGTCACCAATTTTCAATTTTGCGTGGCATTGCCCTGAAGTTGTTTTCTGTTAGAAGACCTATGGGCCAGTGGCATGGATGCAAGGTCCAAACTTTAATTAAAATGTGTCCCCACTCCCCAGATAGTTGTTAATGGAAATATTTTACAATAAACGTAAAAATTCAGACATGTTTCATATAAATGGGCAGAGAATGCACCTGGATTGCTATGCAAGTGGCATAAAAATGATATGATAAAAATGATTTCATAAAAATGATTTCATAAAAATGATTTCATCCATTGTACTGTATTTCCATACACTGCAAACAGCAATGCAGAATTGATTGAAGTTCATTTCCCTGCGTCCCCCTTTTAGACATTTTCTAATTCTTGCAGGTGTCAAATACATGTAAATTACAGGTATTTTAAATTCACAGTGCACTGCTGACACTCGAAGTAGCTACGTGCACATGTACCTGTATGACCGTGCGAGGTTGCTTTTGCTTCCAAATGCATAATGCATGACCAAACGCAGGGCAATTGTCCTCAATAAGCTAGCTGCAGGAGTAGGGGGACAGCCCAGAGTAGCTGGCTTGACATTTAGAAAATGAAGTTCTCAGGTCCCAATGGCGTGTCTGGCCAAATAAACACCAGAGGAAAAATGCTGAAGACATATACTTGTGTTAGTTGTGATTACTTTGTACATCAGGACCCAGAATAAATTCTGTTAATGACATGTTATACTGTTGGTTTTGTTTTTATACTCCGTCCGGTCAGATGTCAATGAAATTGGAAGATTGAATGTGTTTATCTTTGTCTTTGATTATTATTGTTTTTACAATTTCTGACATCTTACTAATGTAGATTGTTTGATTTCAGCACAAACATTTGTCTTTCAGTAACCAAATTGTAAACATTGCCAAAGCGCTGACAAAATGCAGTATTCATGACGTTAATGCTGAACTCTCTGGGGTTTTTTGTTGTTGTTGCTTGTTTTAATCAGACTTTTATTTTCTCTTGTCTCCGCATCAGAGAGCTTCGTCTGATCGAGGCCTTGGACGATGTCTGTGAGAGAATTCTGCAGTACAACATACATGCAGAAAGGGCTTCCTCACGTAGGTATGTTGGGCCTAAAATTGAAATAAACATCGACTCTTCAAACACTGGTTACTTTCTGAGGGCTGACTGAGCTGATGAGTTGAAATACACAATGACTGGTCTGCCTAATCAGTGCGTTTTGAGTTTAGCAAATGTATGTCAATATTGGATACAGAACAATTTGCTCAGCAATTTTTTGTGCAAAGCATTTGGAATTTGCCAAATGCATTTCAATATATGATACACAACGTTTTGCTCAGCAAATCTTTGTGCATGTGACACTTTTAGATTTAATACAAACAAAGTTAGTGATACTGTTTTCTATAGCTGTAAAGTCCTGGGTTGTTTTTGTTTTGTATTCCAACCTTTTCATCATATCCCCACTTCATTGCTTTGTTTTTGCTTACATTTCAAAAGCCCATCGTAAGTACACTTCGTTTTCAGATTCAAACCAGAATTTGCCCTCTTGCATGTATAAGTGATTGGTTTCAATGTTAATTTGTCTATAGTCCAAGATCACGTTTTAGAGAGTGGTTTCCCTTAGATGAGGTGATAAGTTCGACACACCCTGTGCAGTTGTTGATGTCTGATCGAATTCTATGGGGAAGAAAGACTTTCACGTTATGTATCCTACAAGCTACCCCAGAGCTTAGCTTTAACATTAATTTGATACTACATGGCGTCAATTCCTCTGTATACGCACAGCCGTCTGTATTGGTCACAATCTGCTCTGTACAGGTCCATGATGCACCATGCATATCTTTTGCCTGTAGCGGTTTGTACGTGCTTTCATTTCTCCTCATTTACCATAAGTGGTTGTCCCTGCACCGTGCTCACTGTGCAATCCCTTCGTCACAGCGATACTTTTCATTCAGAGTCAGTGACCGTGCTTGATGTCCTCCCTTCACCCCCCCCCCACCTCGTCCTCGTCCAAGGTTCTCTCTGTGAGATAATTGAAAAATCTATGGAAGTGAACGTTAGGTGCACGTATAGTCAGGCAAGCAATTAGGCCCTGTCTCATTGGACGGATTGTAATGGTGGTTGTGTGTGGTGGCTCTTGACTTGTGCTGCGTACGCTGTAGTCCTCTCTGATTTCTGCTTTGTTGTTTATTTGTTTTGTTTGTGTTTGTTTGCCCAAAACACAGTTACGCCCACAAATTATTGATATGAATAGGAATATTTGGTCAATTGTGCTGTGATTGCTACAGTCAAGTTTAATTTTGAGTCATTAAAAGTCACTAGAGATATGACAAAATTTCTGTCATAATTATGAATTCATTAATATTGGATTTATGGTAAAATGTAATGTAATCTGAAGGACGCATGTTTAATTAACATTCAAATATAGTACATGTATTATTCTCATCAGTTTTGAACAATCAACGACCACTGCACTTTATCCTAAGCTCTCCCCCCAACCCTTAATGCGTTAAATTTACAATCACAATAGTCCACTTACATGTAATAAGAACAATCTTTGCATTTACAACTGTGTAGATATCTTCAAATTTGAATTTTATGAACTTTGTAATAGCGTACATCAGAATAGAAGTTGAGTGTACTGCGATAATAATTTCAGTTTCTTCAATGAACATCTGAAGTTTGATGCGGTTATTTTAAGAAGTTGGAAATTGGGGCGACTTTTGAAGCTGCCGAATTTCATGTAACTGTATCCCGTTCTTCCTGAGAGATGTTTGAATTTGTCCATATATACACACCCACACACCCGTTCATTTATTTATTTTTTCTCCAATATACCGTACAATAATGCATCCAACCTCTGCTAGAGCAATAGATGTGATGCACGACACCGTTGTCATGGTTACGACTCTATAATTGTTACGTTGTGTAAGGATTACAATAAAGCCCATTTGTGTTGATTGAGCCATTTGTGTGTCCATGGAGTAGGTTTACGCTTCAGATGCATTTCAAGATGGACCTAGGAAATTCAATATGTGCCCACATTGTACGTGCACATAATATGGCACAAATATTTGGTCATTTTTTTTCTGGCACCAAATTCAAGTATTGTTGCTCTTTTCCAGTTAATAATGGATTTTAGTTAGGCACGTTTGGTCAAAAACATATAAGTTGAGAGTCACTACAGGAATTTTTTTCTTTATTTCTTGCCAATTCGATGTAAACTAATTTGGACTTTCTGAAGATAGTGGATACATTGGGGGGGGGACATTCTGCTCCCCTCCCACTTTTGGGGGGATATCAAACCGTTTGTCCCATCCTCTATATTTGGGACACTAAATTTAAAAAAAAAATGTACCGGCAGGGGTAGAGGATCTTCATTCGATTCTTCTATCAAATAAAAATTACTTGAAACAAAAATATACATGTATCTTGCAAAAGCATTTGCTAACAAAAAATACCTGTCCTTAGAGTGGTCATAAATTGCCTCAGATTACACCACAAAACATCTAGAATCTAGATTTTCCCAAGGCCTGCTTAAGGGCCCCAGACCTCACACTGTTAAAGGCTTCGTGCTCATATTAGTTGTAATCAAGGGTATGTTGCCCTCTTCCGCCTTACTTTCGAAAAGACATCAACACCCATGCCTTAGTTTGGTTTTCAACAGAAGATTGTGTCTTGTGTTATTAAAAACAGCTAGCAGTTTCTTATAATCCCCACATAATGTTGCAAAATATCTATAAATATCTATGGAATTTATGACATCTGGAATGGGATTTAAACAAAAATTTACAGAACTGTAAAACTGATACTTGCCTTTCCACAAGCTGACAGCATTTTGCTGTGTCCAGGGGTTGGCACTGAAAACTATTCATCCATGGTGATTCATGCATGAGAAGATTTTAATCAACCCCCTCATTGCGGTACAGTGTGGATCATCGTGTGAACTTATGTTTCAGTATTACGACAGTGCATCTGGCACTTCGATTTTCTGGAGAATGAAGAATGAAGCCAGCAGAGACAACCTGTTCAATTGCGAAATGAGTTCCCTTATCAAGGGCAAGTTTAACTAACAAATCATTTGCCAACTGCTGGCAGATTATGCCTGGTACCGGTACCTGGGGTACGTGTGTTTTGTGTATGGGTTACCAAGGAATATCGACCAGTGGTCGAGAAATGGTCGTCACCCGATCTTGCCCTTAGCTGCTGCTGCTGTGTCTTGGGCATGTATTTGCCAGTCTGAATCTTGTCCTCTTGTGTGGGGAGGGTATGGAAGAGAGCAAGGATGAGAATGTGTTGTTAAGTGGTGCTGTACTGCACAGTTGTCCTGAAGAATCTTCCGCTGTTACCTGAGCATTGGTGTTGATTTGGCCGTGTGATCAAATTACACGTATGAGGGAACTTATTTGGCTGCATACATATCAGCTGGTGGCATCCCAAAGCAAATGCATGCCTCTATGGGAAGTGGCTACAACCACTAGCCACTGGCTCCCATTGGCACACATGTTATTTCAAGTTGCAGCCACAACTTGTAGACACAGTTGTTGATGATACCCTTGCATCATGCAATGTTCCTCGCCACAGGTTGAAGGCGCCCTCACCAGCAAAGAAGAGAAAGGCTGGGAGGAAGTTTCCCAACTGGGCTCGTTCACTCTCCCAGCACACATGCCATGACCATATACATGTATGCTGCACGAGTCCCCTCCAAAGGAGCCTCTTTGCTACATGTACCTGTCTGTAAAAACGCACACCCTCTCTTGTCCCAGTTCTGAGCAGATAGTCATGAAATACTATGTGTGTATTCTGTCAAGTGTTGTCCAAATTATCCAGATAATTTTACAATTGTGCATCGTTTGTCTTGCACAAGACAAGTAGCAAACAATTTATAACTTTTATTTTGTACTGATTTGCTGCGCTGTAGTATTCTTACAAGCCATGCTTTTAGTTTTTAAACCTAGCAGAAGTAGTGAATATGTCAGTGCATGCTTGAGCAAATTGGTAAAATCTTAACTTTAATATTGTATTAATGACTGGTTATTTATTATAAAAAGTTCTTCGTTTTTAATTTGATACAGGTAGATAGTTTGGAAAGATATACTACATTATATGTGCACATTTGCATCTGAAAAACTGCCACAGTTCTGGTACATGTACATAAACATCAATAAAATATTATCGTGCCTCATCCAAAATTTTCCAGATTAGATTGCTTCGAAGGATTTTAATTTTGGGACTAGGTTGGGTTGTTTTGTATATACATGTATTCAAGTTTCTTCTGCAACTTTGCCTTTTTTGCCAGGTTTGCCAAGGGCCAGTCAGAGACCATGCAGACACTGCGTGGGCTGCAGGCTAAGGGAGTGAAGGTCGACCTGGGTATGCCTGATGATATGTGGGAAAAGCCCTCAGCCCCTGTTACAAAGATGAAACAACGTGTAAGTGCACAGATTTACGTCAGATTCTGAATTTTATAACTCATGCACAGAGTACTGAAAACAACTTACAAATCCACAGTGGTGCAGAGTGATACTGTACTACACTAGCTGGGGTTTCCCTTGATGAGCAAAATGTTATCAAATAAATTATATAGGGAAACTGACTATGGGTTTGTTGATGATCAAAGTGAAGAAGGAAATGGACTGGAGTGGGATGTGAACTTCCAACATCCAGAACACTATGCACTCTGCCAACTGACCTACCATGCCCTACGTCATGGGAATAAAACGTTAGTTAGCTACGTGTATGTACTTTTACTGTCATGGTGCTTTGCAGTTTTAATCAATAAAAGAGGTGGATAAGCACATGAATATGCATGAGATGTAAATATAGTACTGTCTTCACCTTCCACCTCTCATTCCACTTAGTGCACCAAGTGGACTTGGTATTTCTTGTCCCTCAGTGCTCCATGAGTTGTCTCTTCCCCTCAACATTTCCATCTAACTTTCTCTTCAAGATTACTCTGCTCACTGAAAAGATAGGCTTCCTTGCCATGCGGGGATGAAATTTGTTTCCAGAAGGTGACTTTCTGGTTATTGGACATGTCGATCCTATTGCAGCGAGTGACGGTTTATTGTGTTGCTTTGTGTCCCAGTGCGAGCAGTTGATTGAGGAGCAGGAAGATGCCATTGGCAATTGGTTCTTCAAGACAAACCAAGAGACTACACTCTTGGACTACCTCTGTGTTCAGAGAGTGCTGACAAAAGACGAACACGGTACAGGATTAGTACTCTTTCATCTTTCCCCCCTCCCCCCCGGCACAAAGTGACTGTCAGCTATTTGTGAATGCTGAGAGCATTGAAGTGGCCTCATTTTCATGTGAAGCAAATCATCCATTGTGAATTACACTACAGTTCAGAATGTGTTGAAGTTTTGCAAATTCACAGCGCCAATGTTTGCAGCTGAATTACAAATTTGTGTTCGTGTTTGCCTTTGCAGAGAGTGTAAGTTGGCTGTTGCACTCACCTCAAAATTATAGATGGGGAATAAAATTAAATAGGGCTGATTCACAATACAGCCCAGTGTTACCTCCAGGTTGCCATGACAAAGAGGCCATTTTTGAAGTTTATGGTTGACAAAAGCCTGACTGCCTTGCCGCAGTTTGCGTTTGATCGTATGTGTGGGTAGACAGTAGAATGCAATAGAAAGAAGAAGACTAAGTGTGACCCGCTCTGTGAAAATGAGCCTTTTATTATAGTTTTTTATTCAATCATCATTGCCGCCAAACAGGCTGAGTGGCACATGATTTCACAAGGATAATATTAAATACAAGAAACAATATACAAAGATTTAATTTGAAAAAAATCGAAATACAAAGAGTGAACCTCCGTGGTAACTATTATCAGCCAATATGGTCTAGGGCCAGGTGGTTTTAATTACGTGTGTTTAAAAACCTGGTAAAGAAAGGAATCAGGCCATTTTTAAATGGCTCAGATTTACATGTGAATTCCTTAAACGGGTTAGGATTTCTTAAATTCCTTGATGTGGCATTATTAAATGGCAACCAGGGATGAAACTGAGGAGATTTCACAAGTGATTGAGCGAATTTTAAGCAAAGTCTAATCCTTCTATCACAGCGTTTTTCAAGTTGAACAAGTTATAGAGCAATTTTGTATGTTTGATACTGGATGATACTGGAATTAAACGTAATACTTATTTCTGAACCCTTTCAATTTGGTGAGTTTGGCTTCAAGTAAGAGCTGGATGCCAAACAGGTGCAGCATACTCAAGAAGCCGCCGAATGTACCCTATGTATATTATAATGAGATCACACCCAGGCAGGTTGAATGGGATCAGTTGACGTAGCATATGCACTCTGATATTTGCTTTTTTAACAATTCCTTGGATGCGTTTTTCCCATTTAAGGTTAGACTGAATAAGAACTCCCAGAACTCTCACAGAGTCAATTTGTTCTAATACCTGGTTGTCAATAGTCAGATGGAGTGGCTGAAAAATATTTTTACCAAAATGAATTTAAAAAATGGCATTTTTTAATATGAAGACGCATGTTATTTTCTGTACACCATTGGTCTAACGTATTACGTGTGGCTTGGGCTTCAGTAGCCGCACCCCGTAGTGTTGATACGGCGATTGTCATGTTGTCGACATACTTCCAACACTGGGGTCCAACAGAGGTGAGAGCATCATTAATAAGAACAAGAATGAGCACTGACCCCAATCATGTTCCCCGAGGAACTCCCGCTGTAACTGGGGACCAATCAGACAAGCAACCTTGATATCACTCACATTGGGTGCATCCAGTGAGGAAATCAGCCATCCAAGGAATCAGCCAGCCACAGGGATTTAAATTGAGCAGTTTTGATATCACAATGGAATGGTCTGCTCTGTCAAATGCTTTGGGACAATTGGTAGTGATTAGAATTGAGACAGAAGTTGGTTTATCAGCATATTTAACAAGATAATTAACAATATCCACTAAACAATGAGTAGTTAACATTCCTGGGCGACTGCCGAATTGATTTGGGTCTAGGCAATGATAACCATCTAGTAATTAACAATTCAGATATTTTAGCTAGATGATCAGTAAGTGCTATGGGATACAGTTTTCCCAAGGATGCTGGTCGTTCCTTAGGCACATGGACTACAGTTGCCCCTTTCCACTGCTGAGGGACCTGATGTTCGGCAAATGAACAATTAAAAATGTCACATAATGGAACCCTGAGTTCATAAGCCAACAGTTTGATGAGTCTTGCTGGAATGGCATCAGGGCCCATTGCTTTACCAGGTTGAATGTCCGAAAGTTCATTTAACACATCCCAAGGCTGAACTATGGGTTGTTTACCACAAGGCAAATAGGCAGGAAGATTTGATACATTCAGAGGGGCTATGTCACTAGCAAGCTGAATGAAATTATCATTAATGACATTAGCAATTTTCAACAGATCAGTTTGGTCTATCCCCGGAATGTTGATAACAACATTAGACTGAACTGTAGAAGATGTCATTACTTTCATATTTTTGTACTATGATGATGGATTATCACGTTTCAGGTGGAGGACACGGCTGTGATAAAAATGGTTTTTAGCATTTTTAATACAATGAATAATTTTGTTCCTACATTTCCTCCAAGCGCTAGCGTCCCCTTGATTAAAAAGAAGTTGTCGTTGTTTTATGAGTGCTTAAATTTCAGTAGTAATCCATGGCTTATTTTTCACATGAGTACAAACAGATCTAACAGGGAAATATACATCAAATGCACTATTCAAAATAGAATAGAAATTGTCACATTTAGCCGCTGTAGTCTTAGCATTAAGTACCTCTTGCCAGTCGTAAGTAGAAATCCACCTGCCAAAGCATCGAATATCGGAGTCACGCATTGGCCTAACAACACGTTTAATAAGGAATTTTCGGCAGTAGCCAAGTCTTGGATAGGAGACCACAAAACTAAATTATGATCACTCCTGCCTAGAGGAGGCATGATGTGAATGCTCGTATAATAACCGTGAACATTGGTTACAATTTTATCCAATATAGCATTTTCCTGAGTAAACTTATCAACAATTTGTTTTAGATCACAGCTACCACATATTGGGTCAGTGCCAAGCCTATTGAAGTCTCCCATTACAATAAAACCTGCTTGGGAGTGGGCAGACTTTAGTTGGTCAGTAGAGTTAATTATGTGTTCAGTGAGCTCATTTCCGGTATCACTGTTGGGAGGAAAGTACAGGACTGCAACAAAGATGCCTGAGACTTCTCGTGACAGTCTTTTTGGACGAAGGTAAACCCATACAATTTCAAGTTCCTTGGGTGTGATGATACGATGAACTGTGGAAGGGTTGAACTCATGCTTAACATAAATGATTACCCCGCCGCCTCTTCCGACATCTCGAAGTTTTGAGAAGTGTATGAAACCGTCAATTTGTGAAGCGGGTGTCTGGTCGAGTGACAGCCAGGTTTCAGATACTCGGGTCAATATTCTGGTCTCGCAAAATGAGCTCAAGTTTGTCTTGCTTGTTGTGGATCGAGTGAGCATTGGTCGTCATAACTCGTGGGAAATCATAACAGGGACCAAGAGACGTTTTCTGCCAGGTCACACTTGGGCTTGTCCGTATGCGCACAATATTAGCATTGTTGGTGTCGTTTAGGAGGTAGTCGCTAGGATGTTCTAACTGCGATGGGTTTAATTTTGGGGCGTCCTGCTTACCCCCCCTGTATATCTCAAGGTGCCACTCTGTTTAAGAACATGCAGGGTTTCTTCAGGTAGACTAAACTTGACAGTACTCCGTAACTTGTACAGTTCACTAGTTGGATACCGGTAGATAATCCTTTGAGCATCCTTCGCTATATTGCAGTTGTTCTCATAACTCTGTCATGGTGGGTGATCACAACTATCATAGTGCCGATACCAGGATTACTCTGGATATCCATGGATACAGTCATATCAACTGGTGGATGATGGTCAGTGGTGGGTAGACATAAACAGGTATACCCGCCCATTTGGACCAATTAAATCCTGGTGATGAAATGTTGTGAAGAGTCCTCTGAGGGCGCTGAGCTCTAAGCTGCACTGTTATTTGGAGTGGGATGGGTACATCAAGGGTATTCCAGTGATAAAAAGCATCATATGCGTATGGGGACTACGACTGTGTCCAGATCACTGAAGTCCAGCAAGCCGTGGTTATAATGAGTTGTCTCACCACAGCAAGGATTATTGCACTGGCAGCCATAGTGCTCAGTGTCACACAACAAGAAGAAATCTATACTTTGAAGTAAAAGGTCCTTCAGAATAATTGTGCATAGTGTAAATCAATAGGAACCCACAGCATTTTTCACCACGGAGTATCCACTTTCATTAGGATGCCAAACTAAGTGATACATCGAAACAAAAACCTCAATTTGCTCTTTCTAATACAAATGAAAACTCAAAAAGTGGCTCTGGCGACTTAAAGGCTCATTTTCACAGAGTTGGTCACAATTGAAATTACAACTCAAACTATTCTTAAGAATCTTCTTCCCAACTAACAAACATCATGAATAATTAAAGTTCCTCATGCAGAATATGGAAATAGAATTTGTTGATCATTTCCCACAATGCATTGCAAAAATGGCCTTTCTTTTACAACCTCTGAATCACCTGCACTGGTGCAAAAATCTTTATATAAAATCTCCCGTAGTTAATTATTTCAACAAGAAGTATGCTTTTTTCACACTTAAAGATGTATTGAGTGTTGTTGCTATAATTGTGGATTTTATTTAGGCATGCATCGTGTCGTTCGATCTGCTGTGTTTTCTCTCAGTTGGTCACTTAAGATTTGGGGTTCCATCATTCTCCTCCCGATTACTCCACTCCACTTTCATTGGGTGTATTAAAAATGTCCTTATTTTCATCAATTCAGGATGTCTGAATGAAGTATGGACGGGCAGTGAAAAGGTCAACTACGACACACAGCCGTCTGAGGGCGTCGACACACCAGACGCAGCAACTCCTCCGTCCGCCACAGAGTCGCTGCCAGCCCCGAAAAAGACCAAAGCCAAGCCTACTGTCAAAAAGACCCGGAGTCGAAAGAAAGTCAAAGCTGGAAAGAGAGGGAAAGGCAAGAAAACACGTTCCACCAGCAAGGTCAAATCGGCCGCCAAATCCAGCAAAACCAAGAAGAAGAAGGACGAATTGTAGGGTTCTCCATTTTTGGAACATTTGATTACCACTCTCAGGATTGGGTTTTATAAGCAGACTGTTATTTGTGATTGACACTTACAACATGTTGAAAGGTACTGAAGCATACATTTGATTAAAGATTTGAAAATTTCCAACTTTTAGAATACAGTATCAATGATTATCCAGAAACACCGATCTACTTATCTAATGAGTTCTTGGTTTTGAATGTTAGTTGGACAGGAGCCACATTTTTGGCAAGAATTTGCCAAGACAGGTGTTGGAGAGGAAGTGTCAAGTTTGTGTTTCTACCGGCAACAAATCACAGTAACCTTCAGCAGCAGGATTGCCCTATAATTAGCAACTGATGTGATGTTATCCCAGTTGTTGAATGGGTTTGTGAAAGGCAACAAGGCAGAATCTGAAATAATAAATACAAATTTAATTGGTCATGCATCATCGTTTTGATCTCACAAACATGTTTTTGGTCATGTTCATGGAACTCACCCCCTTGTAATCAACAAATACATGTAATTTGATTTGTGTTAAAATTACCATTGATTCTGTACAGGTCCGAGCATTGTGCACAATTCCAAGGTCTGATATAACCATTCTAAAGTTGCTGCACAATTTGAAGGAAGCATTCCCATATTAACCTTAATTCCCTTTACATGTATGCTTTGTAGATTTTGTATAATTGTTTTATCTGAAGCTTGCTGAATCAAAGCAGCTTGTTAAGCGCTTGGATTAAGTAAATGGCAACCGAGATTTCCTGCATTTTGAGAGAAACAGAAATTACACTGCTCGAACATTTCTTGGTGTATACAGTATATCTAATCTATTCTTGCATTTAGGCGGTATTTTCACCACTGTTGCTTTACAGTTCACTCTTTGTATATTTCTGCTTTTGAGTGTTTACAATTCTTTTTCTGAAATTTGGACATGCGTCGGATGTTTAAAATATTGAACCATGCATTTTGCACTTAGATTTATTTTGTATTTTTCTATAAACGCTGTGCAATATATTTTGGTTTTATGCGGAACAGAGACATCTGTTTGGCAATAAGACTATATATATATCATGCCAATGTGAAGCATTCACTTGATAAAACTGGGCTTTGTTTATCTAAGACGTTTCACAGGTTGTTTGACATTTGTTTGAATTTGATACAGAATTTGGATGTCCATAGATGGAGATTTGTCGAATAGAATGCATTGGATGTTAACTAGAGGGAGATTCCACTTTGGCAAATTTTATCCACATTTTCTACAGCTAATCTGCTGTATGGAATGATCAAGATGTCTTGCATATTTCCATGATCAAAGTATTGATCTTAAAGTTACCTTCCAGCTAGAACAGTCAGTTACATTACCTGGTACAAACCGGGACAATGTATGATTAAGGCTGTGAAAAAAAACATGGAAAACTAATGTTTCATTTGAACACGACGTAACACCATGTCTGGAATGTGTAAATTTGGGCTAGAACTAAAGTTTGACCACAGTCAACTGCTTTTAGCAATGTGCAAGTGCAATACAGCCGCACTTGAATGCCCATTGTTGAATTTTTATGTAAAATCTCATCTTTCACATTGTGCCGTTGGCTGCAACTCTCACAGTGCACATGGTCAGTGATATCTGCTACAGGTATTTTTGTGTGAATGGTTCCCTCTGTACTCATAAATTATATTTGCTATTGGTAACCAGTTAAACAGTGTTGAGACCATGCCTTAAGACCTGGCTCCAAATCCTCACTTTGATGGTGCAAACGATAATTCTTTCAGGTGCCGGTAGTGTTGGTCAAACTGTAATCAATTCAAACACCTCACTTACATGTACATATTCTGTATTTTGATCGGCCAAGAGCTTCAGTTACTATATTTGCTATTTTTGCTACATGCATCATTCTTTTTCACTGCTGAAAGAACTTCACCATAGCAACCAAATACCCATAGCAACCAAAGAACTAACAGCATTGTGTGCAAATGCATACTGGTGTTTGCATTGCATACATGATGAAGTGCTAGCGCTACGGAGCTTCGATCAATCATTTCAGTAGTTTGGAAAAGTGCTTGGAAATTTTCAACAAATTTCTTATTCAAATAGACATACCATTCTTTTACACGCGTTAATTTTATCAGTTATTGCTTTTTTAGTAAATCAAGTAGAATTTGCGAAAGAGGTGTTATAAAATGAATATTGACTGCTTTATCTCATATCTGTGTCCCAATAACTCAAAGCAGACAGCGTTTGGGTAGCCTACTATATACCGTAGTCTACAATATACCCTAGTCATTGCTGGGACTTCCTCTTCACTGAACTTCCATTTGGATTGTATTTGATGCTGAGAAATGCACACGAATTCTGGACACAAGAGGGAGCAATTTAGTGCTTCGGTTGCAATTCCACGACCGTTCCAGAGCTACGTTTTGTGAGTTTTTGACTTGCAGATATGTGTGTGTTGGAAAAAAGTAAACACACGATTTAGAATTTATTTCATTTTGAGAAGCTGGGGAGATGGAAATTAACAGTTGATGCTGAAGTGGCTCGTTTGTACTGCTTCAGCTTCAGAGTAAACAGTTTGGGGGTTTACACCCACATACACATGCAGGTGGGCTCAGTGTTGTTAATGAGGTTTACCTAACCACAATGTGAGCGTGACGAGGCTTGTTTTCTTGTCTTGTAACTGTACGATCCATCGCTTGCATGTGCTCTCTCCAGATATATACATGTATGGCTGATGGACAGTTCACATATCGGGACGTTTTGACATGTATATGTGTGCAGAACACATACTAATTGTAGGGACTGCACTTGTTTGTGATGCGAATGTTGGGGGTGAACAGCCATGGGTACATCGTTATGGGGATAATTTTTTTGGTCCCCAAAACTCGGTTGGAACTCTCCTAACAGAAGACATTGTCCCCTCAACACAATGAAAGCTTAATCCATATCCACACACGCTGCCTGGCACTAGAAGTATGGGGACTCCACACGTGTCGAACAGTTGTTACTTCAGGGAGAAATTAGTTACAGTGACGGAATTTCATCCCAACCACTTGGTTCCCTCAATGTTGGGGCCAACAAGGGCACAGGTTGGTACGTGTCTAGTGTGAGAGGTGACTGAGCACCCATGAGCCATTTCTTTTGAAATGTACGGTCTGCAGACGTGCACCGTGCTCCGAGTTGAAATGTTTCCAACCATCTTGTCCCTTCTCTGCTCGTGAGAGGGTACTCCTAGTGAGAGCAGGTGCCACTTAATATAAAAATCTGTCAAAGGTGCTTTTTGAATATTTTTGTACATGAAGAGACAACAAAGACCTTTGAGAGACATGGTGGATTCTGAAGTATTTTGCTGCTCCATATTCAGGAAGATTTCTGTCCAAATACTCTGTAATTTGCTTTTATGCAGAACTGTGAGTGGTATTTCTGTTTTGTCCACTGGCCATAAGTACGTTTATACATGTATATTGCGTAGGAAAGATTACAGTTGTAAAAAACTACTATTGAAATTTTACTTTGGAAGTTTAGCAGCTTCATTTCATGCTTACTGTTTCTAAGTGATAATATATTTCTTAAAAATTACTTTTTAAAACTCTTGACTGTAAAATATGAGTAGTTTCATTTTTGTGATGTTTTCATTTTTTCTGCTCTAATTTTTGTTTGTAGAAAGGATTACGTAATTGTTTTCACCTGATAACATAGAAAATTGAACAATGAAATAGTGTTCTGAAGGCTTGTATGCTGGACATAGCAGTGTGACGATGTTTTGTGGTAGTGCCATGTGAAACACATGTACCTTCTATTTTGTGAGGTTTTGAAGAGAACCAGTGAACTTTCCAACATATTAAAACCCTTTCCACGTTGGTATCCGTTTAGTCTTTTGATGGCTGACAGAGCATACTGTCCATAGAGTGAAGTCCACTAGCCTCACTCACAAAAATAGATTTCGCATGGCACTGCCGCAAACCTTAGTCACATTGATGCATTTAGTTAAGATGTAACAGTATAAAGATTTTGGAGTTGTATTTGAGATGGTATTCTTGGATTGTGTCTCCGACTTGCCAAGTCCATGCAATTTTAAAACTTTTAATTGCAGTCTTTTAGCCAATGGAGAAAGTCTTTCGTGAGGGAAAACACAAGTTGTATGCAAAGTTTACCTTTGTCTGTTGCAAATTGTTTTTAAGACCCCACAGGGTTCATATCTTTAACTCCTGGAATTGTCCATGAATTTTAGTCGGCATAGTGAAGAAGAAAGGGTATTAAGGAAGCACAGTGACTAGAGTTTGTAGGATATTGGAGTCGGTTGAGGCAGGGAAACGTCGATCAGTTTGGTAGATGCAGTTGTAAAAAAATGGCCAACAAGAAATCTGGAAATGAATATTCTAGGACTAGGGCTATTAAGGGAGTGGTATTGAGGCACACGTTTACAAAGGTGGATACATTGGGCGTGGAAATGTTGACTTGGCATTAGTGGAACTGCATAAATACTTAGCGGAAGCTTTCTTGAAAAAATATTGAAGACTATCTTTAATATAATTGCTGAAGTGGTTAAAAGTACCTTGCATGACTGATAATTATAATGGCAAAATGTTTTTTTAAACACATTTAGTAACAGTTTATGTAGTTTATAGGTAAAGGAAGAGAACCTTATGCAGAGTAATTTTATCTGAAAAGCAGAGAAAAGTGTTTCCTTTAAAGCTTAAACTTGCTAGTAGAGCTTTATGCAGAAAACCATTTTAAGATTACAGGAAGTGGTCTTCAAGTACTAGTATTAATTGACTGAACAGCCGAACATGTTCTGAATAATAAAAATCTGAGTAAACACTTTATCATTTGCATGTAATCAGTGGTCCCTGGAAAAGCAAGGGCCACAGTAGCGAACACCTGTGCAGAAACAGGTTTGAAAATTTTTTATTTGCTTTGTGTAATTGCGAGCTTTGGCAGTGGAGTCTGTGTAGGCTTTATGCTGTACTGTAGATGGCTGGGTAAGGCCTGCTCAAGAGAGCTTGGGAAGAGTGATCACATAAAAGTACCTGCATGCGAATTGTGCAGAGTGCTTTTCATTTTCGTTTGAATGCGCACAAAATGTCTAATAATGTTTACCTTTTTACTGCTGATGGCAGGGTAGACATTGAGCCCAAACATCCCCTTGTAACTTCTCTGAAAGCTTACTGTGTATTTCATCTAGTTGAGAATGCAGGTATATTCAAGGGAACAGGAGATTGCAAAATCTGGACAATTATGATGGACTTCTGTTGAAAAATTGTACTCTCCTCCTCGAACAGGCTTAGATAATTAGTAGTAGGTTGATTTCCAATATAATTAAGAAATGCTGGTATGTGTTGTCGGTCACAAGGGAAGATTTTGTAATCTTATGTAAAGAAAAACATTCATATTTTTGAATCTGTATAAAATAGATGCACAACATACTATATTGGCAAGTATCCAGTATGGTTTTACCACCTTGACCCAAAAAATGCAATTTATATCAAACTGCAAATATCTTATATTTGTACATGTGCATATAGTAACAAAATAATCACTTTTTGCCCAGCTAAGGTTCTTACGTACGATACATGTACTTGGGTTGGGTTGCACGTATGGCACATCTTCATCAAATTAAGGAATATAAGAACTGAATTAAAGAGAGAGAGCCTGTGAAACTGGGACAGGTACATGTAACATCAAGCCTTTTTATGGTAGTACACATCTGTAAACATTTCCCCATTTCTTTTTTGGTTCTTGCCAATTTAAAAAGAAGTGAGCGTCAAAATAATGTCTCCGTATTGGAGGGGTCTATCTGACTTTAGTTTTGGGACTTGGCCAAAATGGGAAGGCCAGAGGTCGTTAACACACCATATGCACGAACTGTTCCAATGGTGGGCATCATATCACATTTCTTCACAAACAATTTAGTTGGGTTTGCCCTTTAGGAAGTAGTGTGATCAACTATCACTGGTCAGCGAGTAGTTAATCCGTGATGCATCTTATGCTAATTTTATATAACAGGTTTTGCCCTTACCCAACGTATATATAGATAAACACTGTAAGCTCAGTGCTTGTCCGAGAGCTTGCGAAAAATTCACAAGTTTACTCGGGAGGGACTCAAACCCACGACCTCCTGCTTACTAGTGCAAACGTCTCGACCACCGAGCTTGCCGGTGTCGGCTGGCTGGTCCGAGTCAGGTGAAGCAGCGGGTATGCAAAGTATTTTCAAGATGTATTTTTTGCGCTGGGGAGATGTTAATTTTTATTTATTTTTATTAACATCTCCCCAACGCAAAAAATGCATCTTATGTTGTGCACAAAAGCCACAGTAGAAAACCTTCTAGATAACTTGAAAACAACACAACTAAGTGTTCAATAATGAAACAACTCTATACAGCCTGAGAACTCCACCCTATACAGATGGCCTTAAAGTCCTGTCTGAAGTTTAATAATCCAAAGTTGATCTGGTAAGAATACTGTACTACTAAATGTAAACCACTGGAAAATTCAGCAGCGTAGTAATGACTTCTATTGAAATTCTAATTAAATTTTTACAGGGCACAAAATCCCCATGTAAAACTTCTGGGGACAATGTTGTTACTGACTTTCACAGGGCTGGCAGAAAGACTTTCTGAAGATGTTCACCAGACTCATGATGCTGGTCAGCTGAAAATGCCTTGAGTAAATGTCAATCACCGTTTAGTAGCTGTCGGTCTTTTTGTCACATCCAATTTGCAGGTTATGAAAAAATTACTCAGCAGCTACATGCAGTCTGGCAAAGTTTGATTGATTCTAAACAGGGCACTTTCCAGCTGAGTTATAAAAATTGTTGAAGTACTCAACACCGCCGAGTGTGACAGTTTTTGAGTGGTGAAACTGCAGCATTTGAAGCTGCAGTAACGAAAATTAAGCACTGCACGAGATAATCTAAAACCCCCAACGGCTTCAACTCAAATACAACTAGGTTAAGCCGGTTTGTTTCGGAGCCTGCATGCTTACACATTCCACTCTACCGCTAATATCCAGTTCCAGTGAGATTGAACTGGTAGAAGATTTGAGATCGTTCATTGAACTGTACATAAAGTGTATCTGTGTAGAACAGGTTAATATATATACATGTACTCGGAATACACGGACCAATAAATAAACACCTTTTTGTGGTGAAACACTGTAGCTGTATCTTTTTTCCCATTCATTTGTGATCCACTTAGCATTTGATGACATGCTTGCGCTTCCTGCCCCCAAAGCAGCCCGAACCAACACCCAGAGTTGAGTTCCAGAACCAATGATATGGTGAACCACAGCTCAAGTAACTCCATTTGAATACAGAAAGGTTGGACAAATCTAGCCAAGTACATTATTTGGAACAAGGGTCCGGAGTACAGTTTCACTGCTGGTTCTGAAAAGCTGCCTGCCAGGCTTCATATCGAGGTACATTACAGGGGGAACCTTGGAACAATGACATGAACGATAGGGAAATGTGAGAAAAGGAGGTGACCACAGGAGAGGCAGAAAACGCAAGCAGCAATGTTGGTGAACCAAAGGCTCGACAATGGTTTGACTGGGAGTGTTTAAAATGGGACTCCGGTGAACATGTGAAATTTTGCCCTCAAGATTTGCTCCAGGTTTTGAAATTGATGAATATAGGACAAAGAGTTATGATCACTGTGATACAAGGCTTTCTGATGTCAAAATTTCAAGTCCAAAAATGTGTTAGCAACGGTTTTGGTTGCATCTGGGAAAATGTTTGGACATTCAAAGTACACTGAATGGCATACAGTTGGTATACTCAAACTTTGGAATATTACTCGCCTTTCGCAAGCAACTGATGCGACAGAAATACATACATGTAACATCCTACCGAGTAAGCAAGCCACTCAGTGTCTAACCTTTGTGGAGAAATCCACAGCAGTTTCCATAGCCATTCAGTAATGGTCATTTGGATTAAATCTGGTGAAGAGATTCACCATACACTCAGTAAGACAGCGCCTCTGACAGATGTCCATATGGAGAAAGGTATAGATATGAGTCTTAGCTTGTGGATGGGATCTTGTGTCATAAAGGCCTGGTCTTGAGTCCGAACACCGACACACTGAAGCAGAGACACTCATTCCTTGATCAGCCTCAACAAAACTTGCACATTCTACATGTATAGCTGTATTCATCCCCAGTCACGCATGTATCATATTGCCAACCGTGTGGAAAACACTCAGTCTTTTAGACTTGACAGTGTCCTTGCCAATCCTATTGGTGCCAGAGCCAACGGCGTCTTTTCCTCCTGGAAATGAAAGAATGACAGAGATGTTTTCTTTTGAGTCAAAAACAAGGTTAAACTTTTCCACTTTAAGAAAACATGTGCCTTTGCTATTAACTAAATTAAGATCAGTAAAATCTGCCATTATTCAAAAGCTGAGATTGAAAAACTCAATCCTCTTGTTGAGTCCTTAGC